TATATATATATATATAATATTATATATATATATATATATATATAATATTATTATATATATATATTGATGTGTGTGTGTGTGTGTGTGTGTGTGTGTGTGTGTGTGTGATGTGTGTGTGTGTGTATGTGTGTGTTTGTGTGTGTGTGTGTGTATACATATATATATATATATATATATATATATATATATATATATATAATATATATATATATATATATATATATATATATATATATAATATATATATATATATAAATATATATAATATATATATATATATATATATATATATATATATATATATATATAATATATATATATATAGAGAGAGAGAGAGAGAGAGAGAGAGAGAGAGAGGAGAGGGACGGAGAGAGAAACGGAGGAGAGAAACAGAGAGAGAAACAGAGAGAGAAGAGAGAGAGAGGGGGGGGGGAGGAGGGAGTGAGGAAGGAAAGAGGTACAACATAACCTCTCTCGCTGTGTATTAGAGTAGATCACATTGAGTGTATGGATAACGGTTCCTTGCAGTGTATTGGCACACTTTTCCTCACTTACAGACTCCCGGAAAGGAGAACAAGTCAACACATGGATATAAACACAAACAAAACAACGCACACATCCCTTTTCTACCTGGCACACCAAGATCAGCAAACCGCAAACAAGCTCCAACGTTTGCACTAACCAGGCCACATTCTAATTAAGAAAACACTTTCAACGCTTCAACAAAAATCGTATAGCAACCTGTACTCGCACTGATGCAAGTTCAAGGTCGCCCAAGGCATATGCTGACAAGGCCACTCACTACTTTCACGTGCCTAAAAGTACCTCTCTCCCCTCCCCCCCTCCCCCCTTCCTGGACAAACATGTTATGGACGAGTATGAGAAGTTCCTCCCTCCCCTCTCCCTCCACATTTCTCATGGATAGAAAGAGTACCAAAAGTTTCCCATTCTGTTCCTGTCCCTCCCTCCCTTGGACAAGTAGAGTCTCTCCCTCCTCCCCTCCATCCTTTTGGACAAGTAAATTACAATAAGTCCGTCCCCTCTTCCCTCTCTTGGACAACTAAACAAATACAATACTAACGAAACAGTCCTCTTGACACCTCTCTTGGATAAATACAGCAAATACGTTCCTTTCCTTCCTCTCCCCCTTACCTTCCTTGGACAAGAAGTTACGTACTATGGTCTCAATAAACATCAAAAACAAAATTTTATACCGACCTCCGTTTCCATACCTTACTCCTCTTTGCCCCTTCCTGGACACACACACACACACACAAAAAACAAAAACAAAACAAAGAAAGTGACGTCACGATCGAATGCCCACGGATGCAACAGAGGCCTAACCCCGCGCACCTTCCGTGGCTTTCTCGACCCCGGGTTATGTTTGTGGAGGGTGGCCTACATAAGCCCGTCTGCGTGGTTTGTTGGTCACGCGGTGATTTGGCTCGTGTCTGGTTGTATGGTGAGCGATGAGGGGGGGGGGTTATTGGGAATTGATGCGGATTAGTTCGTTCGAAGTGGAATGTCGGTGTGTGATTTAAGAGTGGGTCGCTTACCCATTTGCTTTAAAGTTCGCAATGGATGATATGTAGGTGTACGCCCACACACGAACGCATATATTTCGTATCTTTCATAACACAAGCGTTACGGCGTATGTTGTTTGAATTTAATATATTATTTTGAAATTTTGGTTTCTTAAAATTGTTATAGTTGTCTGCAATTGTGAAACGGAGGATTTGGGTCCGGCCATTAGGGTGAGCGAACGAGAGTCGGACTCGGTGCCGTTTAGCGCATTCCGCAGCATCCCTGCAGGCACTCCAGTGCTGGAGAAAGGGTAGCCACCTATCAGGGTCGAGGGGAGGGGGGGGGGGCATATACCCCAGTTTCCAAGGGAAAGTGGCACTTTCGTAGAAATCGCAGTTGATTTGCCTGCAGACATAGCTTTACAAACATGTATGCAAGGGAAGATCGGAGGGGCGGGAGTGACCCGCCAGGATACTACCTTTCCTCCAGGGCGGAGCCGAAGAAGTCCGCCCACGTCTCGCTGCTGCTGATCCTGGCAATGAGCGGCTGGAAGAAGGACTCGTCGATCCTGGCGAGGGCGAAGAGGGACGCGTTGCCGAGGCCGGCGCTGAGGGCGAAGGCGCCGGCCATGATGGCGACGAAGGCCGCCGTGCCCACCGACTCGGCCAGGTTGTCCAGGCTGTTGGTGAACCTGTCCACGGACGTCCTGGTGTTCAGGATGGCGCTGTTGGCTGATGCGAGCATGTCCATGGCGGCGGCTGCGGGTCGGGGAGAGAGGGAGGCGGTCAGTCTCTTCGCTCAGCGGTCTGAAGGATAAAGCGTCGGTCACGTCTTCAAGCTGATGCAAGACAAGCATCCCTCCTCCTCACAAGGAAAGAAAAAAGGAGAGGAAACACAGACTCACCTTGCTGAGATCCAACCGCAATCCAAACTGCAACAACCCAAACAAAACTATGCAAGAAAAGTCAATAGAATC